TATATTATATTATATTTTATTAAATATTGATCATACAAAAATATATGAAAAATTACAATGCTTAATAGTTTGGTTGTTATACATATAAATAAAATAATTTGCAATTAATTTTTAAAAACTCTTGGATCACATTTCGTATACACTCATAACAATTCATAATTCCCTTGAAGCTAGCTGCTTATTTCGCACGCTACTGTAATTTGAGGCACATGCCCATTCCTGCAGAGAGTGACTCTGTGTGGGAGCAATTGAATGAGTTATATGCCGCATATGAGCTTCAGATTGGGCAGGTTCTGGCTGTTGCGGCAAAAGCGTTGCCAGCCATTCCAATGGCGAAATCCGTCGGAAGCCAGAATACGTTTCGCACAGGCAGCGGACTCACGCAGATTCTCGTCGAGCAGGTCTTGAATGAAGTCAGAGCATTAATAGGGGCAGAGCATTAGTAGGGCGTGCTAAGCCCGGCTCACCTTCACACTTGACATTGCAAACGCCGCCACGTCGACTCTCCTGGCAGTAGCGTTCATTGATCTGGAAGAGGCCGTAGTTGCGCGACCCATTCGGATTCGTTGTCAGCTTGGCTGTGTCCAAGTCGCTCTCATGCTCCAGCAGACATATCCCTGAAAGTGCGGAAGTTAAGACTCTCTCTCTCTCCTCCTCTCTCTCTCTCTCTCTCTCTGTCTCTCTTTCTGTCACTCACAATTGCTGAGCAGGCTGCGCTCGAAGCTGTGCTGCTCGAGCAGCTTCCTGGCCAGCTCGCAGCGCATATAGCGCTTGCCCAGCACCTGAGCTCCCAAACTGAGCCACAAGCCAACGTAGAACAGTGCAAGCACTGCCGATCTCATATTGCGACTGCCAACCAGCTGTGCTCCACCTTGAACGTGATCTCTAGGCCCAGCTGCTGCTGCCTCTCTCTCGGCCTCTGCTGCTGCTGCTGTAGACAAACGATTGCTGATAAGTCGCATTTTGCGTTGTGCCGAATGCGATTCGAATAGATCTAATTACTGACGGGTCTAATGGGTTCGCTGTTGGCAGCAACAGTTGCCGGGCTATTCCCATGAAATTTCAGCTCTCTAGAATTGACCTTTACCTGATGAAGACCTCATATTTTATAATGCAGCATTTTCCTTTATTAAATCTTACGCGAGAGTTGCGATAGAGTTGAGCTCTCATTAAAAAGCAAGTATCATGTAATACCGTGTATATACGGCATAGGCCATATTGCCAGCAAGACGCGAAACTAAGTTGACTTAGGTATATAGCCGATTCAGCCATATATTAGATTACAGATAACTCTAAATAATAATTCATAAAATTCAGTTAGAAATCGATTTTTAGACTTTCATCTTGGCGGGTAGAAAGAGTTAAAGATATTCTAAAAATTTATATCATATTTATTTATCATATTTAGCTCAGTTAATACAATATTTTAATAAAAATGTATCCTATTAAAATATCTAACAATCTTGCGAAAAGTATTCTAATCTAAATTCTAAATTTGAAAAGCCTAAATTTAAAAGATAACAGCTCTAATATAATCAATCTTAATAAGTTGCGATTCTGTGGCTTTTTGATAGCTTTTCACCTCAGAAAACAAAGTTAGTTCTTAACGAAAGATAGACACTCAACGAAAGTATAGATAGAAACCACTGGAAAGCGCATAGCTGGGACATACACCAAGACAAAGCGTGCAGCTAAGACACATACCGCTCTGTAAGTATGTATGAAATCAGCAAAAGTAACGACTGATCGATACACTGTAACGAGCGGACAGTTTCATAGCTGCAAAAACCGCAATTGATGTGTTACAAAATAATTTTTGAAACATTATATAAGTTGAATCTGATGTCCGATTATAGCTGATAATAATTAAAGCAGAAATCTGCTCCTGTTGTACATACCTCAACAAATATTTAAAATTCTAGAAGCCAATATACTCGTAATTATTTTGGAACAGGGTATATTTTGAAGAGAGTGGAAAATATTCTCAACTCGAGTTCATCGGTTAAGTTAAGCTCCACGATTGAAGAAATAAAGATATATGATAAAATATTGAAAATATTTTCACTCAAATTAAACTTCAGACAGTTTTCCACCGTTTGCAAGAAAATTGTATTTTAGCTAAGGCTACAAATAGTTTTAAATTTGAAAAAAAAAAAAAAATAGTTCTGCTTTCAAATAAAATTGAAATTTCTTATTGGCTTTAATTAAATAATAATATGTATAGGCTCGATGGGAAAAATTATAGTTATGTTCCGCATGTTCCTTAAAATATCTTTACTCATATTTAGATATTTTTTTTTTTTTTTTGCTATGCTAAAAACAAATTATATTTCTTGTAAGTAAAGAAAAAAATTATTTAAATTTTTCTTTACTATAACTAAAAAATGTTTAAATAATAAAAATATTAATAATTGAAAAAAAAAGATTTTTTTTTTTTTTTTATAAAGAATCCATAGTCGAGACATCTTAATACTCCTTTGAAAAACTGAATTTGATTTTCGCAATGTTCACATTTTTTATTAGCTAGCGATGTTTCTGTATATAAGATATGACATATGAAACAAATAATCTCAGTTTATTGCATGCTACATATATACATATACGTCTACATATACATAGATATATATGTATTGCGAATTGAGTGTGGTGAAATGTACAATACTTAAGCTCATAATGTTTCGATTGCATTTTTGAATACTTCAGTTTTTTATTTCTCTTTTCTTCAATAGTATTATACATAGGGCATCATAAATTTTACGTACAGTTTTCATATTCGATTATAAAAAAAGACATTGCAAAAACCAAACATTTAAGTTATGCTGGATATTTCAAAAATGAATGTGAGAAAGAAAATTCGTTATATTTGAAATAGAATCTATGCAATTACGATCACAGGATGCTGTGAGTGAATTTTTATTGACGAATATTTTGATTGATGAATACATTTAATTGTATATCATAAATACAATAAACATATGTAATTGTTATCAAATTTATTAACTATTTAGACTAATTTTGGTATAATTAGTCCCGATAATTCGAAACTTCACAGAATTCCAAATTATCGAGAATGAATTTGGTTCAAGGGGATAGACTCTTTTTTCAAATTATTGCGATTTTTTAGCGACTGTTATTTAAAATTTTTTTTTTTCACAAATTTCAAAATATTTTGCTTACAAATTTAAAAATGATATTTGTATATATAACATTACATTTTATATATTTTTATTTAATCATAAAAATCATTTGTTTTATATGCACATTTTTCATTAGGCTATATATTTTTTATTGAGTAGGATTTTTACTCAAATAAATAAATTCAGATATTCCGATTTCGAGTGAGCTTAACTTTAACCGATATTTTTTGAACGAACAGATTTTGAGAAAGTGTTCCGCTCTGTGTGTTTATAAACATACATAGAATTTTTCGAACTCGAATTTTCTGCGACATACAGATATTTTATTGATTAAAGGGATGATAGAAAGGTTCGTGATATCTCCTACAATACCGAAAAATTTTTACGATTTTGATTTTTTTTTTTAATAAATATTTTTTTAACTCTGCTCAGCATAGTCTCTAGCATGTTGGAATAAACTCAAACTAGACTGATTGTATTCTCAAAATGTGACTATAATAATCATTCAGTTATGATATAGAACTCGATTTAGAGTAACAATGGGATCGCTGAAACTTATTTCAGATTATTCTACTGCAGTTCAAGCAAAGCAATTTGACAAACAATTCATACTTATTTCAATCAACTATATTCGATAAAACATTTCAAAAATATTGCTTAAGAACTGCTATCACTAGGCACGAACTAGTTCGCTTGATAACGCAGCTGGTTCCAGTGCAAGCCGAGCTTTTCATTCAGCAACCCTTAAAGCACATATGGAGCACCTGCTGCTGCTGCTTTGAGCAACACAAACACATATGCCTGCAGGCACACACTCACACACACACATATACACACACCTACACACCCTTACGAATTTCCATCCCCTGTGGCAAGTGCAAGAAGCAACGTTTCGCACTTAATATCGATTCGAATGGGCAGGCGCATGCGCAATCTGCCGTAAGCTATGGCTCGAGGTCGAAGTACCGAGTCCGCGAACCGAGAACCACGAACCGGGAACCGACTCCGGCAAAGCCAACGAGTTATCCGTCCAGCCAGCGCCAGTTGCAGTCGTTTGTGAGCGTTCGCAGCGCTAGGTACTCAGCAAGTTTCCTGGTGCATTCGAAGCATAACTGTGACTGAGCAGCACAAGGTTGTCAACCTGCTTCACACACACACGTACACACATATATACCAAAACAGAGAGAGAGCAGGACAGAGAGAGAGAGAGAGAGAGAGAGAGAGCACGTAAGGAAGGCAGCTAAAGGACTTGAGCGAGTGCCAGTTACAAAATTCTACAACACAGGAGACAGAGAAAGAGAAAGAGAGCGACAGTGACAGAGAGAGAGAGAGAGAGAGAGTGACCAAGTGAGCGAGAGTGAAATACTAAACTTTTTTTTGTTTTTTGGCTCGTGTCTTGTGTCGGCGTTAAAATTGTTGTTGTATTTGATTATGTTTTTTTTTCGAGTGCGTGTCGAAATCAATGAAGAAGAAACACAGAAACAAAGTGAAAAATAAGCAAAAGCCATGAAAGAAAGCTAAACACAAAAGAGAAAATAAATAACTAGAAAAATATATATAAATTTATTGTGCAAAAAACAAAAAACAAAAAAAAAACAATTTTTTTTTTCTCTCTGTCTTCGATTTAAAATTACGGTTTTTTTTCCAAGTGGCGCAAGGAGTGAAAGCGAGAGAGAGAGCGAGAGAAAGAGAGCGTGTGTGTGTGTGTGTGTGTAAGAGCACGATTGTGTCTGTGTGTGCTGTGCGTGCGCAGTTCTATCAGATGAAACCAGCGAGTGTGAGAGAGTGAGAGAAAGAGAGACAGAGAGACAGAGAGTGACTAAATGTGGGCTGTGCTGGCGACGCTTAACTCTAGTCGAACTAACTGCAGCTGTTTTTCCATAAGTTTCCACGAACTCCGATTGACTGCCAAGTGCAAATAGTTTTTCATCCGAATGGGTTTTTTGCCCAACTGTAAACCGACAGACCTGCCAGATGTACAAATAGAGGGGGAGAGGGAGAGGGAGAGAGAGAGAGTATATAGAGTATAAGTAAATCGACTCGACTCAGTTGTCTTCAGTTGAGCCAGGGCCCACGCAGTATGATGTGCAGTTAGTCGAGAGCAGCGAGTGTAGACAATAGCGAGTGGCGAGAGTTCTCCAGAGTTGAGAGTTGAGTGTAGACTCTCTCTCCCTCTCCATCTCCCCCTCTTTCACTCTCACTCATGCTTGCTCTCTCATGTATGCCACGAGTTTCTACTACGTTCTACAATAAAATACTACTACGCACACACACACACACTCACTCACATTCACACACACACACATGCACGCACACTACTATTCCGCAGCATAGTTTTTTTTTTTTCGAGCAACATCAACAATAAAAAGCTTTGATCGTTGATTGCGCTTGCCTTTCTCTGCGCTTCTCAACTGCTACTATCACTCCTAACGCCATTTGCTCTACATTCTGCTCTCTCTCTTTTTTTTTTTTTTGATTGTTTTCATACTCGTGCAGTTGCAGTTGCAGTTGCAGCCAACAGTGGTCATACAGTGGACACAAAGTGTTAACGAAACACACAAAGAAACTGAAAGCAAAAACAACAACAACAGCAAATATATATAAACATATATAAACAAAAACTAAAGCAAGCAAAACAAAAGCAACAAAAAATTGAAATAACAATGTGCGCCTCGCAGCGTCGTAATTTGTTGCTGCGTAGCCTTTGGGCAGCCGTCGTGCTCGTTGGCACTGTGCAGGTGAGTCATGCAATACCAAAATCCTAGCGC